TTAAACTTTTTTTTTTTAACATTTTTGGCTATACTAGCGTATAGTAAATGTATATTAAATATTGAAAAACTCCAAAAGTTATTTACAAAAATGTAACCAGATGACACCTTTTTGGCACCTCCCAAGACTTTCGATAAAGAATAGCCATCCCCGACCGAATGATATATGCTCGCATTGGGGCGATTAGGCCTTATCGGCTGTTATATATCACGATGACCGAAACAAAGGGCCAACGGACAAAATCGTACAAAGAGAGCCACAAATAAAGGCGAGAAATGAGATTGGGCCAAGACGAAAGACTTTTCCCCGGGCGGGGTAATTTTAAGTTTTTATGTTAATTCCCATGGACTATGGGGCCATTGGCCATGTGGTCCATAGGCAGGCCATAGACCATAGACCATAGACGATATGCATAAAAACAAATCCAATCGAAAGGCGAGACCGAGCATCAAATTAAATCAGTTTAAATATGGCATAAAATAAAAGTACAAAATCATGTTTGTTTAAAAGGCCAACGGGCAACGGCCAACGGCCAACGGGCTCTGGGCACTGGGCACTGGGCAACGGGCAGAGCAACGCCAACGGGTTAGTAGAGTTAGTATCTCAAATCGAATTTATCGCCGCACAATTTGTGAAATTAATTTACTCGCTTCGAAGTTGTATGTTTTTTTTTTGTTTTTGTTATCTTTTCGCTTTTTATTTATTTGTTTTTTCTTGCGAGCTGGACTTTAGTGATTTGAGTGAGGTAATTATGAGTGCCCCTAATGCCGTGGCAGGCGATACGTTGTTTGATTGTCAGTTTCTGCCGATAAGTTAAAAGTCCTGGCTGGCTGCCTCGCATAAATCGGAGCCCCCTATCAAAATCTTATCGCCGCCACACATCAGCGGTCAGAAAGTTTTCCTTTCCTTGCCTTGTCTTGCCTTGCATTGCCTTTCCACCAGCCAGCAAACCAACTACCCACAATCCTCAAGCCAAAACAACAGCCAAGAATATCGCCATTTGGCCATTTGGCGTTGACAATATTTTTCATGCTAAGAGACTTTTAAGCTGTCAACGCGCGGCGCTCATAAAAATCGACCACCAAGTTGGACAGAACGGACGGAATCGAATCGAATCGAATCGGATCGGATCGAGCCGAGCTGAATCGAATCAAAAACTGGGCCTAAATCGACACAGAAACAAAAAATTACAACTAGATTGGGTTTTACATGATTTTTACGTCAGAAAGATAGTATTCTGTCCATAACCACAGCTTTGCTAAATATTGGCCGAATGCGGAATCTAATATCTCGTTGGATTCGGTAATAAATTTTTAACTAAACTGCATTCCCACCTAAAATTGTAAATTTTTGTAAATTTTTTTGCCCGAAAAGACGATGTTACCCCTTATCATAAATGCGAACTTTTGTTTCTCGTTATTTTCTCCCGAAAATGACAGTATTATGCCAATAACTAAGCCAATAGTTGTCCGAATACGGAATCTGATATCTCGTTGAGTTTCTTTTTTAATTTCCAGCATTTTTGTGTTCACACCTAGAAATGTACAATTTTTGGATTTTTTCTCAAAAAAACGATGTTACCCCATATCGAAACTGCGAAAATTGGTTTAATCCGATTTCTCCTTCAGAATGACAGTATTATGGCCATAACTTAGCCAATAATGGTACAAATGTGGAGTTTTATACCTCGTTGAGCTCGAAATTTGATTTCTATTAAAACTGCATTCAAAGTTGAAAAAATAAAATTTTATCCATTTTTCGCAAAAATTGACGATGTTACCCCTTACAAGATATTCGAAATTTTCTTAAAAATAAATTTCTCAAAATCATCAAAATAATGATGAGGAAAGTTAGTTTTCGTTATTAGCTGCAGAAAACAGTCATTCTATTAGCTCTGCGTCTTTTTTTCACAAAGGTATAGTCAAAAAACTTAAAAAAATGTTAAATTTTTCAGTCGTAATCTTGACATTTTCCTCGTGACTTTTGACTTACATATGAAACGTAGAACGGATTGCAAGATTTCTGATTCTTGTTTGTCCCTAAAAAAAGTAAACTTGCTATTTATATTTTAATTCTAATCAATTCACTAATCAAGATTTCTTGCGGTGCATTTTGTAGCAGTGAGCTGGGTCTGAAATTGCATTTCGAGGTTGCCCAACAGCGTCAAACTGTCTGGCAATTGTTTTATGCATTTAATGGGTTCCATTTTGTGGGAGGCGGGCACATCGAAGGGGCTCAGCTTGATTGGAATGCAAGTTGAGATAATAAGGCAAAGGCTTTACAAAAGTAAACCAGATATTAGGGGGGTACTCAAAAGAGAGTGTATGCTTAATATAAAAAACCTTCAAAAATCAAGCATTGAAAAATAATTCACATTCGGAATTCAACTTTCAGAGTGCGAAACCTAAAGTAACTAAGTTTCTGCCTAATGGAATTCAAGTTTAAACAGTTTAACCATAAAGTTTATACAGTTTTGTTATTAGTTTTCCCTTTTCTAACCGTGAATATTTCTGTTTTCGCACACAGCTTTCGCATATGGAAAACAGGCTAGGCCTAGTTGGCCCACTTCGCCTCAAACCCCAGCGGGAAATGCCGGGCTGTTTTCATCTTTATTTGCTTTTCCAATTGACACGCCCCCCAGGTCGCACCGGCGAGGGCAAAAACAAATGAAACGAAACGAAATGAACAAACAAATTGCCGGCGTTGTAACAACTTGACATCAGCACGTGCCCTTGTGTGAGTGCCAAATGGGCAAGAGGCAGTGGCGTGCGAGGAGGAGATGCCTAGGAGAAGGAACATTCAGAGTGAGTATTCAAGTATTATATCAAATATTATCAAATTCAAGACTGTATATATATTCCCTACAAGGAAGACTTTGGTTATTCCCTTCTTATGCTTTGTCCTAGAGAGTTTATCTCCTCAACTACGAAGATTTAAGATCTTAAACTCAATACAATAGTTTATGAAATACAAAATTAGATATCCCTAAAGTTTCCCAACAATTTATAGTCATTTAAGGGTATTTTCGATCAGTTTATCAAAGAGTTTCCATGTTTTTGGATTATAATTTGCAGTAGAAAGTCTAGAAACTTACCCAAAACCCCCTGAACTTCCATTCCCTGTGCCTCTGCCTGAATGTGTAAAAGATTGTTGACAATTGCCAATGGCTGCTTGTAATTCCCAATCTATGAATATCAAATAGGCCGGGGTCTCGCGTCCAGGACCCAAAATCCCCAACCCTTGTTTGCCAATCAAATCATAATCTGAATTTGCAAGGAACAACAACAACAACAAGTGGATGATAGGGAGGGGCACGAGGATGCGGCGAGTGGTTATAGGGACATCCGGAGTTTGGAAGGTAGTGAAGGCGCAAATGCAATTTTACAATGTTACATGAAACGAGAAAACGCGCAATTTATGCCAGAGCAGGATGGCAAAATCGGGTAAAGTTTTGGTGGAAATGGAAGGGGGTGGGTGTGGTCTTGGGGAGTGAGTGAGACGACGGCGGCAGAGGACTTGTGCTTTGACGCCTTTTTGATTTGATTGTCCATGACATGACGGGGTCCCAATCCGCTCATCTTCCCTTTCGTACCGCTCAGCAGAAGAGCCAGCCATACGCTATACATGTTCATATAGGAGAGTATATTCCCATATTCCGAAATCCCCTCCTCTGGTTGCATGAACGCCATTTGTAATTCAAGTCAAAAGGCAGTCGATGGTGTTGTTGTCGTCGTTATACTCTTCAGGAAAGGGTATTTAGAGTTTTCTACTGGGTTAGATTACTATCTTGTTTAATATTTTATGGTATATGGTTATAATTTAGAAAATTTCAAAGCTTTTTCCAAGTTTCTGAAGAAAGGTGACCCAAAACTTAGGTTCTAGAGATGGTAACTAGATCAATCCTATACCTATTTCACAGTAAAGTATCTTTAATTTTGTTTTTAACATGAAATTTAGGCTTACGTGATCAATTTAGCTTACCAGCCTTGGAGTTTGTGAAAGAGTTTCTGCTTAAAAGCTACAAAATTCCACTTCTGAAGCCTATAACTTTACCAATCCTACTCCGATTTCTATATGGCCTACCTTTTATTTTCAAAGAAAAATAACACAAAAGATTCCATCTTATACGTAGCTATAAAAGGTTGCCAAAAACTATAGTAAAGTTCTTAATTCGAAAATCAATTAACTGTTTCTCCAAAATACTACAACAAAACCATAAAATATGCCAAAAGTTAGCAAGTTAGAAGGAATAATACTAGTTTTTTGTAGGGTATTTCAAAATCATATCGAAAAAGTATCCTTCACCGACTGGTCCTTGGTGTTATTATTGTTGTTGTTGCTGTTATTCCTCGACGGATTATAATTTTCTTTTCCGTTTCAATGCATTTCATTTCCGTGCCAACGCACGAACGACCCTTGATCCCATCTGGTGAGTGTGTGTGTGTGTGTGTAATTGTGTACTTTGTATTTTTGCATTTTTGACTCAATTACAATTTTCATGCAAAACCAGTAGAAAAAAAAAATGGAAAAAGAAAAACAGGCGAAGAGTGGGAAGGGAGGAGAAATAGTCGCAGGCATAAGTAATATTCCTGGTAATCGGATTACATAATGTGATCAAAATACGAAATCGCATTTTTCCTCCTTTGAAATTTGCGAATTTCTTGATTTGCATTCAAATTAGATTTTTCGTGCTGGATTTATTTTTTAGTTTACAGATTCCAATTGGAATATGTGCTTACTGTGAATGGTGAAACAAATGGGCGGGAAGTTTTTGAATTACAGGTTTTCGTTTTGTGGGAATGTTTAAATAAGGGTGCTGCCAGATCGATAAAAGTATATGCAGAGAGTGCTGCCCAGGAAGAACTTTAGCGGAATGCTGCCCATAAATTTAAATTTTTAAATAGGCAATTCCGTTGAAATTTAAATTTGAATGGCAACTTTTTGAAAATTTGAAGTCAACTAATAGCTTTTCCAGTCCCTCAAAATAAAAGACAAACAAGTATCTTATTCGTTCCGCTTCTTTCATTTGTTTTGCTCAATAAAACACTTAATTCTAATTTTGTTACAAGGTTTTCTGCTTAATCATCATGCTTCTCTAGGTTACTCGAAAAATAGGACTTTAAATTAAAGAAAAAAATATATAATTCATATGCATTAAACAATCGCACGCACACACAACTTTACCGCCTAAAAAGAAACTAACAGAAGAACATAATCTGATACTCATTTTCACTTCTTTCACTTTCCTTCTATGACTGCGCTAGCCCTCCGCTGCCAATCCAAAAGATATATATATTATCTCTCTATATATATAAAGCTGATCCGTCTGACACCAAATTTAGGGACTGGAGAGTGTAAGGGGGGTGAAGTTAAAGGTGGTAGCAACGAAGGGCCGCGCAATCTCAACTCAAAAACTCTAGTTAAACATGGGGGGCTGTGTACGTATATATATATATATATATATATATATCAGTTATATATAATTATATATATATTGTATTGTACACGTGAATGGCGTTGGCTACTAAATACTCCCGAGTATGCACGGCGTAAAGTGTATAAAAGTTATTTGTTGTTGTTGTTTTTGATCCTGTCTGTATACAAATCCACTACTAAGAACAACTTTAAGCCTATTTGAAAAAGAGGGTGAATAGAGGGAGAGGTAAGAGTCTAGTCGCATTCGCAGGTTTGTGTTTTTGTTTTTATGAAATGCTATCGATGAGTTTTAGGACCGAAGACTCCGCTGGAGGGCGGACTAGTAGGTGTAGGATGCTGGACGCCGGCCCGTTCATTGGGTGTGCGCGGTTATCACGATGTTGATCTGCGGATAAACATCCGGTTTGGCCTCCGATGTAATCAGCTGCACCATCCGCTGCTGCAGTTCGTCCTGGCTGGCCTGCGTGCCTGGCGGTATCATCCAAATGGCATCTGTTTTTAGGGTAATGATAGAGAAAAAGAGTATTAGAAGGGGGTTCTTTAAAGATGTTCTCATATAGCATTCATATAGTGACTAAAAAGAAATCAAAGTCCTAAGTGACTTGATTAGAATCATCTGCTTAGCCCTAAGATCTAAGATTGAGGGGTGTCTCTTGCTCACCGCCAAAGTACCAGCCATTTGGAGTGCACAACCGCCACATGATCGGCGGCTGCGTGGGCATCAGATCGGCCAGAATATCACATGTTTCGCCGGGACGCAGGGCGGGCACATTAATGCGCTGCGTCTGGATGGGCGAGGTTAGATAGCAGTTGTTTGGCCAGCGCTCGGTGCCGTCATTTTGCAGCTGGAATGCCTGCTGCTGGGCATTCAGGTGCTTTCCCTGTACAATCTTCATCGAGGGCAAAGACTGCAGGCTGCAGAAGTCCAGGTAACAGCCGACCGCCGTCTGCAGGCTCCTAAAATGGTAGGAAAAGTTTAATTAATGTGTTATAGTAATGATTTGACTGCTATCTTAAAAGAATACGAAGTTCTATAGATGAATCACAATCTCAGTATTGACAGCCCCCTCTTTATATTCCATTACATGTGTTGATACTTGATATATGTTGTAAATAGATAAAGACAACTTCAAGATTATAAAACTTTATGGACTTCTGGGAAAAATCAACTCAGTTTGAAGATATGGCTTTAAAGGGAACATTTCTATACTAGAAACTGTAGGAATCATTCTAAGTAGAAGTATATCAGAAAAACTAACTCAAGGAGGGAAATTTGTAATCAATTTTAGTAAACTAAAAGCAGAGATATAAATAGATTTAGGGGAATACCCGGATATTCAAGGAAAAGTGTCTAGATATTTGAAAACATCACATTCTGATCCTCAGAACTTGCCTATAGAAGATTCACATACATTATAGATCCGAAATACACAAATCAAATCAAATTTAAAATACATTTCCTCTTAATAAAGTTCCTAACTTCAAGACTTAGTAAAAATAGATGCCCCCGCAACGTTACACTTACCAATTGCTCATCTCGAGGTAAAACCTGGCCGATTCCCGGTTCATCTGGTTGTTCATGAGGCTCTGGAACTGGCTGATGAGATCCTCGTGATCCGTGGTGCCCATGCAGCTGAACTGTTGCAGCAGCAGCGAATCGATGTCGAAGTCATTCGTGGGCAGACCCTTCAAGGCGGATGCGGATGCGTTAGCGGATGGACTGGGACTTAGATTCGAATTGGGATTCGGATTTGAGTTTAAATTCAAATTCAGATTCGAATTCGGACTGATGCTCGAAGTGGAATGGGGCAGCGGCAGCATTCCTGGTGGTGGAGGCAGGGGTATGGCCATCATTGGATTTGTGGTTGTTGTTGTATTGGTTGTGAGTCCGAATAACGGTTCACATTGCATCTGTTGTTGCTGTTGTTGCAGCTGCTGCTGCTGCTGCTGCTGGCTATCCGAATTCGGATTTATATTCATATTCTGCATCTCAGCGGCGTTTTCGTAATTCTCCTCCACATCCATCTCGTTCGCTCGGTCTCTCGTTCTCCCTCTATTGCACTAGCTCTAACTCTGTCCGTCTCCTTTGTTTGCTTTCTCTCCCTTTCTTTCTGTAATTAATATATCAAATCAAAATCGCAATCAAATGAAAATGCGTTTTACGCTTTTGTTGTTGTTTGAGCACTTGTACAAACACACACACATCTGTGTACGCGGTTGGAAATACTCACACATACACACGCGCGCACACACAGATGCAGCAGCTGGTTTTTAAGGGCGAACAAAAAACAACAACAGCGGCGGTCACCTCGTCCAAGGGGGCGAAGTGGGGTGCGTTCCGGCTTTCGGCGTGTTCTAGTGCGACCTGTGACCTCGATTAAAGCCGAAAAGCGATCGCTTTGAAGCGAAGAAATGCGGGAATAAAATAAAAAGGCAACAGTTCTGGTGTGGCCAGGCGGCTTATTTTGGTGGCGAAAAGTGTAACCGTGTTAGGGTTATTTTGAAAATGTTATCCGGTAAGCTTTAATACTAACCGATTACAATATATACTAAAAAATATAACCTTCTCTGAAACTATATTCAGGGAATGCTTTATATAAATACTTTGTCATTATTCCATACATTCGTGTTTACTTATACCTTCATCTTGTTGTCTGGAAAGTATTTCAAACTACAGTTGCTGATCTATTAAAAAACACATTTCAAAAGCACAAACTAAGTTGCAATAACAGAACTCAAAAAAAATAATGTAGTAAGCCTTGTAAACTTACTGTGGAAGTTCACATAATTCTTTATTTTTATTACTATTAATAAGAATTTAAATAAACCGCCTCATTATCTAAATCTATCGAGAACCGATTATTAAACTTAACGAGTCTAGTATATTTCCTACAAAGAACAGTATGCGGTCACACTGTTTCGACTATCAAAGAACGATACCTCAAATGATATCTATCGATTGCTCTGTGCAAAATCACGCTCCCTTCTATCGATTGAAAGCGACGGTCGACGGGAAATCGTGCGCATTGTTGTTTTGTTCACCCACTTCGTCGCGTCGCTTTAACAAAATTGTTAAATATCGTTAACAAAAACGCTTCGCACGCACAGTAGCCGGTCGATTGCGAACTTAGACGTGCTTAATTACGTTTCAAAACAAAGCTTGCTCGGTTGAAATTGTAAATAAACAAGAAGGTTTAAGAACTAAATCTTTTTTTTTTTTTTGGTAAGAAAGCCAGTAACAAACAAAATCACAAACACCAACGAAAGAGTGTGTGGGTGTAATATTAAGAAAAAATATCAAGAAATTTAAGAAGAAATCATCTACAAACGCACAAATACATAGATACATATAGAAAAAGGAGCGCGCGGTAAAAAAAAAAGAGCAGCATAAGAAAAAGAAGAAGAAAAACGCCGACTGCGAAAACGGCGACAAAGTGAAATTGATAATAAACGCATCATAATTTATTTAAAATAATAACCAATCAACGGCGGCAGTTATAAATAATTAAGAAAGTTAAGAAGAAAAGCGAGCAAACACACATACACAGCAAAAATGGCAACACTAAACAAATTCACAAAAACGCTGTCCATTGATGAAAAGACCGAGATCAAGGAGAAATTCATAGAGGTAAGATGACAAAAAGAGCGAGAAAAAGCGAGATAATAGTTTGCAATAGCAATATTCAATCAATAAGAAAAAAAGAGGTGGCAAATTATTAAAATTCAAATTGAATGACTCACACATACACACATACTGACACACAGGGGGAGCAGGAAGAAAACCGTTAAGCGGTGCATGTGGGCGTCGTCGTTGACAATGGGGAGCAGCGACGTCGACTGCGACGCTGGCAGCAACGCTGGCCTTCAACAGTGCAAAGCAACCCCCCATGAAGTGGACTTAAAAGAAGAAGAAATAGAGGTGGAAGGAGCAGGAGGAAAACAGGGGCGGATTTAAAGATGGATTTTAGGACGGGGTTTTGTTGTCTGATTTTTTAAATATCCAAACATATTTTTATATTTTTAAATTCAAGTTGAATTTAGCTGTATTTAAAAAAGTTCTTTTCGAAGTCAATGAAAAGATAAAGTACCAGGGCTTACATATAAATTTTACAAATAAAAAGTAAGAGATAACTAGAACCAGTCCTTATCCCCCCTGGATTCGTCACTGGTCAAAGACTTTGAAGAGCGAGAGGAGCAGAGACAAAGTATCGCCAGCTAACGGTTAACGCGCTGCGCCCGCTGCTGCATATGGTAGTGCGTGGAAAGAGGGGGCGCGTGCGTGGAAGTGGGTGGAAGGGGGCCAGCAGATGAGCAAACAAGTTTCCCTTTCCCGCATCTCTTATCTCTCACTCGTTCGCACAGTGGATAGTTGTTATCAAGTATGAGAAAGTAAAAAAGGAAAATATTTACTTGAATTTTTCCTTTATTTTTCGTTTTAAAGATGATTTTGATAAGAAAAACTATTGAAATCAACTGGTATATAGATTATCTGCTAGATTAATTATAAACATTTTAATATATTGAATACTAAATGTATACTTTTTGTTGGTAGATGAAGTTAGAATCCAAAAAAAAAAAATAAATTATCAAACCGTTTCTAAAACTGGTTCCATAAACAAACATAAAAATAGATAAAAGCCAACATCTCCGAATTCCACTGTAGACACTTAACTTTTTCTCATTACCCCTTCATAAAGTATGCAAATATTTCTTATCGCACTGTGAGAACTTCTGGAAATATTTACAGAAAAAACTTCTCTTTTTTGGGAGGCGCCCTTTGCAACTGCAAAAGCAAGAACAAATTCATTATAAACAGCAGCAGCGCATGCGCCAAAAAGCGCAAGTTCAATGCCGCTGTCAACGTCGCTGCCCATCCCCACATAGTGACTAATGCTAAACAAACTAAAAAATACAAATAACAGAGAAAAACATAGACGGCAACAAACCATCTTTCACTTGACGAATACTTCTCGTGAATTTCGCGAGAATAATATTTGGGCAAGGCCAGCGTTATAACGTTAACGAATATAACGTGCATTTATTTCCATACCATGACACCACGTAAAAGTCGCTCCGCTGCCACCCCTTTTTTTTCTGAAAGGGGCCGGAGGGGGGGAATACCATGGAAAACCAGTTTCTGCTTAAACTAAAAATAAAAATAAAAATCACAGGCCAAGGCACATATACAAGCCCCGTCACCGGGAGAGCGTGAAAAACTACGTCTCAGCTCGGCTCCAGCTTCAATTCAGATTCAGATATCTGCTCTCAAACCCAAGACAAGTCGCACAGTGGGCTTATAAGCTTGTCATTGGGAATCCCCTTTACAGATTATAGAAGTCAAAAGAAAGAATGCAGGAGCTATGATATTGTAGTTAGTTCTGGAGTTACTATTATATTATATAAATTTATGACCTTTACTGAAGAAGTATCTAATATTTAAGAAAATAATCATATACAAATATTAGTTCGTGCATCATACTACCCTATAATGATCTCTTTATAGCCCACTATGCACTCGTCACCTTGGTTCAAGGGGCAACCCGAGTCGAGCAATTTTCGTTCAATTTTATGCACACATTTAATAGTTTACAATTGTTTCTTGCTGATTTTTGTTCGCCTGACTTCTCGAATCCCGCTCTGCATTTGGCTTTTCGCTGAGCTCGTAATTCCCGGCAATTCCAAAGCCAAAAAAAAAAAAAAAAAAAAGAAAGAAACAATAAACGCCCACGCTGCAATTGCTTCGAGTGCAGGCCATAAAAATCCGTATATGCTGAAAGACATAAAAAAAGACTTTGCTTGATTGCAATTGCCAACGGAGGGGAAAGAGCGGAATTTATGCAGGCATAAAAAGAAGGGTTTTGAAAGTTTCAGTGAGGAAGTTTGAAGAATTTTGGATTTATTTGATGTTTTTAAACCCTACCATTTCGTCTGATTTTTGTTTCCATTTAAAATTCCCAACTTTTATTAGAGTGTACCGTTTAAGGCAGCTCCTGTCGCACGCGTGCTTGGCGTTAATCGGCCGAACAATACGGATCCATTGTTGTGCTTGGAACTCCAATGAATCTGTATGGCCAACGGAACGATTTGCAAGATGTGGATTCCAAACAAGATCAGGATAAACACTGGCAAACGGTATACTACATACGCTCGTTTAATGGTTGGGAGTTTGTGTGGGCGGTGAACAATCACTGTACTGATTGACACTTGAAAGCTGGAATCTGTTTTCGTTATTCCACTCTTGTTGTTGGCTGTCGAGTGCGATGACTAATAATAAATGCCTTCGCTTGAGATCAACAAAAAGGAAAAAACGATCAAAAATTAAATGAAATTCCGCAATCTTTTTTTCCTCAATGAAGGTTGCAAACTACGAGATATATTGGAATTATAGTAAACAAACTTGTTTATCCCAAGGGGACTCTTTTTGATATTGCTGAAATTATTATCTGGGGACTAAGTATTAGCTATGAAATACAGTAGTTTCCCTCTGCGGGTAATATTTGTAGTGTGATAAGCTAATCGTTATAAAGTTATTCATGGAATCTTATAGATAATTTACTTCATGAGACAATGAGATAAATCTTATTGGAATATATACAATTTCTATGCGATGCAGGGTATTAAAGATCCGTTGATCGCCTACAGGATTATTATTTATCGCATGTGAGTGGCACATTGTTGCCATTTGCTTATGTTGAACAGCAAGACAGAGTTGCCACACCCACATACAAAGCGTTGTTTGTCTTTTGTTTTCTTCTCCCGCTTTTCTGTGTTTCTTTTTCATTCTTGCAGTGTTTTTGTTTCTGTTTCGGTTTCTGTTTCTGCGTGGGAGTGTCAGTGTTAATTGCCACAAAGCCCCGCATTTTGAGTGCCCCGATGTGAAGGAGATATGCAATGTGTTTTTATGGTTTATCGGGCTTGCATACTTGATAAACAATGACGGCAGACAATTTAGCATTTTGATGACTGCATCCAATGAGTAATTTTCAAAACAAACCAATCCATGCAGCCTCTAAAACGCAACTCTATATGTACATATTATATCATCTAATTTTGTATCATTTTCAAAGCATTTAATCTGAAAAATCATATTGTATGGATGATTTAGCTTACTGATGTCTGTGTTTTGTATTCCACGAAATTTATGGCTCGTCGTTGATGCTATTATTTCAACCGCAGCTGTGTTGCCGCCTTTGTTGCATTGCATGTTGCTGTTTTGAAGAGCTGATGGGCAGGCACATAATTCATTTGGCTGCGTTTATTAGGTCTTTCGGGCTGATGTTGCTGCTGCTGCTGCTATATTTTCTTTCTCGATTTTTCCTGCTTTTACTTACTGTGCGCTGTTCCCATTCACACAAAAAACAACACTTATTGTTGTCTTCTTCCGAATATATAATTCCTCGGGATGTGCTGCTGCAGCTTGGCTTTTATCAACATTGTTTTTTCGGGTGGAGGGGCCTTCAAGTGCATTTTGAGTGCAGGCTACTTGGGCACTTAGCGCTAAAAACGCTTTCTTTATTTATTTCCTTTTTTGATTTCTTTGTCATTTTAATGCACATGCCAAAGATTTTTGAATACCCAAACACACACTCTCAGCACACAGTGTCCATCAAAAGTCGTGCCGCACAGTGGGTCGTGATTAAACGGCGATGATATCATTCAAACCAAAGACTGTCTGTGTTTATAAAGTCCAAGAAACACGTAAGTGTTACGTGATTGGAGAGTAAACAAATCCAATGTTGGAAATTATTTTCAGAGGCTCATTTAAAATGTCGTTAAAAGAATATGGTTATTAAATCAACATCAAATGTTTGCCAATCTGCCAGTCTGTGAAAAAGAGCTTGGAATTTGCATATATTTCATCACTGTAAAATGTAGTGTTTATGTATGAAATTATTGGAAAATCCAAGCCGATACACTGTGCATTGCTATCAAGAGTGAAAGTGTTCGTAATGCGTTGATTGCATTTCGTATGCGATAAGTTGCAGCTGCATTAATGCTGCAGCAACCTCTCCCTCACTTTACCACTTTTTCTCTCGCTTATTTGGTTGTCCTTTTCGCTCAAGTTGACGCATTTTATTTCCTTTCGTTTTTATACTCTTGCTCTGGGGGTAATTCCAATTTTCCAATCTGTCTTGCAATGAATTTTCTTGAATATCAAGTTATCTTTGGGTTTTCCTTGGATAAAACTTTCCTGAACAGCAGATAAAGCTATCTTACTTTGCATATCTTTCTATGGGCCATTGCATTTTATTACATCTATAAAATTTGGAGTTAGATAAAGAAACCTTAAGAATCTTAGCAAATATGGTATCTTTTTGTATTCTAACTTTGAAGTTGGTCAATATTTATAATAAACCTATATTAAAAATATAGATTTCTGCTCTTAAGATATTCAATTCTTATGATCAAGAATAATAGATCTTCCGATGTACAAAAATTCCAATTAGATGACCAATTCTATAATGGAATTCTCCTTAAGGGTATTCAAGTCCCGGGCACCATTTTTGGGCGCCTTCGATGGTTGTTTTTTTTGCGTGACGAGTTTGTTGAACTCTGGCCAGTTACCTTTTGGGGGCAGCGTTGGATTGTTTGTCATTTCTTTTTATCAGTTTTTGCCATTTTTGGTTT